TTGGCACTTTTTTTTTTTTTTTTGCTTAAAATGGAATTCAAAAAAATCAACTATTTGTGGTGGTGTAGTAGCCTAATGTTGGAGCGACGTCAGCGGTACTTGGATTAAAATTGTTCAGATAGCCTTGTGCAGACGTTATTCTTTCGGCATTTCGAGCACTGTTCTGGATTTGTGATGATAACTTTAATAAATGTTAATTCATTTTTCGTCACTTTATTATTACGTTATCTTTTAGCTTTAGCGTCAAAAAGAGTAAAAAAACTGAAGTTTTCAAATTGTTCGTAAAATACAATTGGCCTTTTTTTTTCTTTTTCTTTTTGGTAGCTTCTTATCATTATTTCCCTCAATACATGTAAATAAAAATTACTGCTTACCCAATTGCTGGAGTTTGTATTCACTTGGGTTGAACTATTGGTTTGCGAAGTATAGGATTCGAAGGCTAAATGCACGGCTTTGTAAAATAAGGATTGAGGAAAGCAGAAAATGACGGAGGGAACAAGTATTGTTGCTGGTTAACTTTAGAAACAGAAGAGCTGAACATGTGCAGAAGATAACTCTAACGCTGAATTCATGCGCTTACCAGTCTTCCACAGTTGCAGCTGTGCGTGTAGTGTATCACCACCTTCTGGTGCTCGAGCCAAAAATTCTTCTGCTGACATTGACAGTAAGGCACGACCGGATAGAAACAGTTGCCTTGGCGGTGGTAGTTGAAATTGCATACACATATCTGACAACCATCGACCACTATGTTCAGCGGTCCAATTGTATGGATCTGTAAATTGCATTGTATTGGAATATGTAACATTCCACATTTGGTAATACTTAATTGAAACTGTTCAGGAAAATAGCCCAATAAAATTTTAAAATACACTAACTGACTTGTTTTGTAAATAATACCAAAAAAAAGAGAAAAAAAAGACAAGAGAAGAAGAGCAGAATTTTTGTTCGTATTTTCTCAATTCTGTTTTCAATATCAATATTTGTTAAAGAGATATATACAACAAAAAATTTAAATTTGATCCAGCAATTTGATTCAGTTTAGAATGATAAATGTTTACTGGTTGGTAAACCGAGCTTTGAACATGTTGTACTGATATCCTGTATCAGGTGTTTAAGAATTAGATCACGATACAAATCCATTTGTGCAGCGTCATTATAGCCTCCACCGCTTGTGATGTTTACTGTGGCTGAATTCGGCGATGAATTGGTAAACAAAACTTCTTCTGTCAGGGCACATCCATTTGGTGACATTGAGAGGAATGTACTAGGATTTGGGCTATACGATGTTTGATTAGCCTCTGAAAATCTAGTGCATCTGATGTCGGTAACTGTATGTTAAAATACAGAAGGAGAACTGGTATTTGTGACAGAACTACTACCATCATTGTCCATAACAGAGGTAAATTAATGATAGATTATGCCAGCAAAAAAGAAAAATAAAATAAACAAGAAATAGATATTTTGGTTGCTTTAAAGTGAAATAAAAGTTTTTTCTGGAAAATCTCTAAAAAGTACAGTAAAATTTTTTCAATTTTTGTGTAAATTTATCAACAGTTCATAAAGCAAAAAATAATCATGACAAAAAAAAAAAAGCAGAAATTAGAATTGTAATAGTAGTAATAATAGCAACAGTAATAGTAATAATAATAGTATGAATAAGAGTACTATAATCAACAGTAATAACCTGGTGGTTCAATTTTGATGTTTGTCAAAATTTCTGAATTGTTGATATCTTCGTGGAAATTCCTCTCACACTGCGTCAGATTTCGTTCGCATAAACCGATGTTCTGCTGCAATGAAAAAACCTGGTTATTTTATCTCCATTAAGAAATTAGTTGACAGTAATAACAGTAGTAATAATAATAGTAATTATAATAATGATAATAATGATAATAATAACAATAACAACAGTACAATAATAATAATAATAATAATAATAATAATAATAATAAAAGAAGTAATAATAACGGTAAAAATAATAATGGTAACTGAAGTAGGGAAAGATTAACGTGTTTTGGACATCTTTTATACTTCTACTCTACGGTTAAATTTTTCACCATTATTTTTATCAGCCAATGTTTTTACTTATTTATTTAGCTATTGCTTAAGAGTTATCATAAGAAAGAAGGAAAAAACGAGAAAAAAAAAGAACGACTGGAGGACGACAAAAGTGGCAGATAAAATTATCGATGTTATAAGCAATATTTATTTA